ATATCCCCTACAAGCAGGAAAAGCTTGATACAATGATTAGCCTCTAAGCCAGGTGGTAACAGTCTGCACCACCATCAGCTTTACATGGCGGACCACACCGTGCTTTGGTCAAGACCACATTCAGAGGTCCCGAGTTTGGGCCATGCAGGCATTCTGAGAGGATTATGTTTTTTATCTCTCTTCCCCCAAATTAATAGGAAAAAATGAGAAACATAGTTTTTGGAGTTCTTGGTAAGATGCTCTTTAAGTCAGTCAACAGTCAACAAGCATTTATTAAGTACCTATTATGGGCTGGGCACATGTTCCATCAAATGTCTAGGTAGATAATGGCCATTGGGGAATCAAAGACAAAAGCAAGACAACAAAAACAAAACTAAACAAACAATTCTTTTTTAAAAATGTAGTCCCTGCCCTCAAGGAGAGTGAGATCTAATGGGGGAGACAATATGCAAAAACTGTGCACCAAAAGTTTCCTTATTGATCTAAAAAAAGAAGCCAACTCACCCCAACAAAGCTTGATGAAGAAGAAAACATATTCATGGATTTATCTTGGGTGATAGAGCCCAAGTCATCTGCTGTTGAAAGACCAGCTGCGTTGGGTCCGTGCTCTGGGAAAGGGAAGGTTGAACTTGTAAATATTTTGGTCCTTGCGAAACCTTTGAGAGGCTTTGCTCTGGCTTATGCTTGCTTCTCAGGCATTGCCTGGCAGAGCTGCCCTCCACTGCCTAGTGCCAACCTTTCATGCCCTGCCTACCCTGTTGGTGTTGCCTATAGGCTGAGCAGAGGTCCCAGAGGCACTGAGCCTCTTATGGATGTTAGTGTGGAATTGGGTGGAGCCAGCTCCAGGCCACCCCCAAACATGTACTTTTCGTCATTTTAAAATATAGTTTGTCTATTAAGTTGTAAGAGTGGAAAGACGCCTTACCTCTTGCACCCCAGGACCTTCCTGGCTAGAAGAGCAAAGTATATGGCTTAGCATCTGCGGGTGGGGACGGGGGAGGAGTTTTCTGGGGGTAGCCCTGTGTGTGAACATTTTGGAAAGGATGACAAATCATACAAGCTCAATATGATAGGAATTTCCATGTCTTCCTTTTTTTCCTTTCTTTAATTCTTTTCTTCTTTCCTTCTTTCTTTTTCCTTCCTTTTTTCTTCCCTTCCTTCTTCCCTTTCTTCCTCCCTTCTTTTTTCCTTCCTTTTTTCTTTACTTCCCTTCCTCCCATCCTTCCTTTCTACCTTTTCTACCGATTAAAATCTAAATCACTGCATCTGTAGGAAATGTAATGTTCATACCTATATATTTTTTATTTTTAAATTTAAATGTCTATTCCTCGCTTTAGTGTGTTGTATGTGTGTGTGCTTTAAATATCCAGTGCATGTTTAAGTGTGTGTGTGTGTGTGTTTGCATTGGAAGTTAGCCCTCTGGGCTCTGCACCTCACTTAACTAGGAGACATTTTCAAATTCTAGTTTGATTCCTTTATGGAAAGTTTCGTCCCCCTCCTAATACCATTTATGAAACAATAAATCTCTGCCCCCATGGCAGTACTTAGCTGTCCAGAAGGGGTCACAACCATAGAATTGATAAAGGGACATCCTGGTACATCATAGAGCTCCTGACTCTTGCCTGCCCAGTCTCCAGCTTTGGGGGTTAGTACTCACGTGGAATACTGCCTCTACACCAGGGCAGGTTGATGAGCTAGTTTAGATGGGGTTCTGATGGGATCAAGACTTAGAGGAGGAGGCAGCAGCTGGTGATAACACCACAACCATTCAGTCTGGGCCATCACCAGCCACGTGAAGACTGGGGAAATACTTTATGGTATAAACTGTATGGTGCTACTTCCACATAACCATGGCGATGGATTATGAGAGCTTACATCTAGAATCAGAGATCATTGAGTCCAAGATCCTCCTTTTACGAAGAGGGAAACTGAGTCCCAGGGAAGGGAAGTGACTTGCCAGTGGTAGAGCTGGAGTTTGAACCCAGACCCCCAGACTGCAAGCCTAGTGCTCTTTCCACTAAACTATGAATTCAGATCTTGCCTCTGATAAGGACTCGCTGTGTAACTAGAAATAAATCACTGAATAGGATCACATACAGCTGGAACAGACCTCAGAGAAGAGCTAGTCCTTCCCCTTCTGAGGCCCAGAGAAGGGAAGGAATTTGCCTAAGGTCACACAGCCAGTAAGGGACAGGACTTGGATTAGAACCCAAGTTTTCTGGCCCAGACTAGGCTTTCTTTCCCCCATTTCCTATTGCCTCCCTGCCTCATCCTCATCTCCCTTCTGTCAGTTGTGACTAGTTATGATTTTCTCTGGCTGGTTCTGGGTGTACTTCAGGTCACGGAAGGGCAGGCCTGCCACTTCAGGAAAACATAAGTGGTTAGTTGGCCTAGAATTCTGGCCATCACCTTGCTCTGCTCCTGTTAAACAGGGACAGGGTTGTCAGACTGTGAATTTTACCTGAAGGTTGTTTTCCAACATCTCATGGAAAATTATGAGGCCTCCCCCAGTGCTGAGGTGGGGTCTATTCTGGGGTGCAGTCATCCTGAGGAGAGAAGGCTTAATTTGGACCTAATCAGAAGCACCATCCCTGAAGTACTGCTCCAGGCAACACAGAAATATCACTGTACTCATGCTGAGGAGAACATTCCTCTAGAAGTGTCCTTCACGTGGGTCACCCCCAGACCCAACCCCACTGTCTTCCTTTCTCTGGATCTGGCCTGGCCCCTGCCTCATTATGGAATCATCATCATAGCAAACAGTGGCACCGGGGCCCCTTTTGCACAGCCTTCTGGCCGTCCAGACTGTTAACCGGCAGTGCCAGCCTATCAAAGCTGACCGTCCATCTGCACAGGTATCCCCTGGGAGAGTGGTTTTAATTGCAGTATAATTAGCACCCCCGCCTAACAGGACCTGGTGTTTGCGAGTTTCTTTTGTGGCATCAGCTGTGCAGAAAACCAAGTGCCAGCCTGGCCACGTCATGCATGGTGTGCAGCCAACACCAAGGGAACCTTAGGAAAGATGACAGCGATGAGATTCCACGACTGAGTGAGTGCTTGTGGAATGCTGCCTCTTCCCCTGTACCATCCCAGGCGCACACACACACACACACACACACACACACACACACACACACATATGCACACACGCACACCCTTTTCTGTCAAGTATAAGCACCCAGCCCACATTTGCCCTTTGCCTTACCTGGTTGTCGAGTGGAAACAGAATCTGAGATGCCCCCACCCCACTCCTCTGCCAGACATTGGTGGCAGAGGCGCGTCCAGAGGGAATGGGTCCAGCTCTGACCCTACCTCCCTCTCCAGGAACTGCTAGGTCCCCTCACTGCAGTACAACAGAGAACTGGAGAAACTGAGAGGGAAGAGAAAAGGGCAAAGGAGGGACAAGGGAAGAAAGGAGGGGGAGGGGGAGGCGAGCAGCGGGGAGGGGAGGGAGGCAGCCTATGTCAGAGGAGAGTCACCCTGCAGCCCTGATGTTTGGAGCCAGAGTCATTTAGAGGAGAATGACGGTGGAGACTCTGAAAGCTCAGTCAGTGCATGTGTGCGCTGCATTGACGTTGAAAGCAAAGGACGAATCCCCTCGTTTGGGAAGCCCGGCGACTGGAGAGAAGCGACTCTGAGCTGAATTCTGAGTGCCTGGTTTTTTGTAAGGTGCCGAGACTCTTGAAGGTGATGTCTCGCCAGCTGGGACGTCCCTCGTCAGCCTCCTGGCGCTGGGCTCCCTGAGACACAGGTCTGGTTTCCTGCTGTTTCCCCCCCCCCCCCCCAAGGCGCCCAGCCTGTTCATCGGTGGGGTTTGCTCATGGAAAGTCGCCCGACCGCTCATCCAAACCGAGAAGTTTCCCGTGACACCCGTGGAGTCGGTTTTCCTAAATCCCCGGGGAAGATGCTGACAGCGCTGTGTTGGGAAGGAGGCCCCTCATCTCAGAGCCTGCCTAAGGATTGAATGGCAGGAGAGGCTGGCAGCCAGATTTGCTTCGGGAGCTCGAGTTCAAGGGCAGACTCAAGGAACTTTGGAAGCATGGCTGAGAAAGAGAGATGAGGCGCTCTGGACTTGGCTGGGAAGGCGGGGATGTTGGCTGAGGCCGTGCAGATCTGGCGCTCTCTCTGTCCCCAGCTGCCTTCTCCATGTGCTGTCCATGGTCCACGCAGTGTCAGATGGAGGTTAGGAAGACCAGGGTAACTAGTCTCTTTGTGCTTCTCAAACGTTTCCTTCCATCTTTGTCCTTCCCAAGCATTTTACTGTTGTTGATGTTGGCTGCAGCCTCGCTGGGGAGGAAGCAGCCTTGTTGGGGGGTCACTTTCAGGCCGGCAAATGGATTGGTTGGGAAAGTGTTTTCACAGCGTCAGAGTTTCATAAAACATGGTATTGTTGGTTTCCTTTCTATAATAGTTTTCTTTTTGTGGTTAATTTATCATTTGTGAGTATTATATTTATATCTATGGAGAGAGAGAAAGGGAGAGAGAAGCTTTCTTAAGAGCCCAGCAAGTTCATTTGTTTTCCTTTTAGTGACTTCGGGGAGAAAAATGCAAGTTCTCTGAAAAATAAATCACAAGAAAGGAATATAGAATAAATTCAAGGATGGGAACAACAAGGTTTTAAAAAAATCAAAACACACGAGCTGTGGTTTCTTTTCCTGACAAGGTCATTGGATAAGAGAGCAGGAGACGGCTCTTGGGGGGGATGGGGAGGGGAATCCTCCCAGGGGCCATGTGTAAGTGGGATCCTGAGGATCAGAGCCATTAGATCTGTGGGGAGCCCCAAAGCGGCATCCCCCAGCATGCAGCCGGTGACAAGCATCCTCCTTCCTTCTCTGCCGTGTCCAGGTGAGCGAGGGTTCGGTCTCTGGTGGCCAGGAGTGTTTCTGCTGCATAGCAGATGTGCCCAGGGTCTGGGACAAGCGAATGAGCAGCAGCAAATGGTCATGTGATATCAGTAGCTGTAAAGTGACCTTTCTCATTGTTTGGTTTGTAATCCACAGGAGCCAAGTAACAAACGGGTCAAGCCCCTGTCCAGAGTCACGTCGCTGGCGAACCTCATCCCTCCTGTGAAGGCCACTCCGCTGAAACGATTCAGTCAGACTCTGCAGGTAAGGAGCGTCCCTTTCATTGGGGTTTGCTGTCCAGCTGCATGTCAGATGAACCCTCCACTCTGTCCAGAATTCTGAGGTGTGGTGGCCTTTTTCCTTTGGCAGGGATGAGCCAGAGGGGCATTTTGGCATAGTATAAAGAGGGCCAGCCTTAAAAGCAGGAAGGTCTGGGTTCGAGTCTGCCCTCCAACATCTACTGGCCGTCACTTAACGTCTCCTGGAGAAAGGATGCTGACCTGCTTTAGTAAAGGGAATTTCCACACCCAAAATTTCCTTGTATCAATGACCCTGACCAATGAATGGCCATACGCTTTTGTAGTGATAAGAATAATACTGAGAGTCCTTTAAAAGAATTTTAAAGAAATAATAACAAGATTGCACCTTATCTTAGAGCCATGTCTATCCCAGTTCCATCCAAGAAGGCACTAATCACAATTCACATTTATATAGCATTCACAGACCTTGTTTTCATTTAGCCTTCTCAACAACTTGGAAAATAGGGGTTTCAAAATGGTTCTCCCCATTTTGTGGAGGAAGAAACCAGTGGTCAGGGGGGTTAAGTGATTTGTCTGTGATGAAATAGCTAATAGGAAGGGGAATGGAAACAAACATTTATTAAGCGCCCATTGCATGCCAGGCGATATGCTCAAAGCTTTACGAATATTACCTCATTTGATCCTAGGAGGAGGTGGTATTGTTATCCCCATTTTACAGTGGGAGAAACTGAGGCAGACGGGTTTTTGTGACTTACCCAGGATTACACAGGCAGTGAGTATCTGAGACTTGATTTGAACTCGGGTCTTCCTGACTTGAGGCTCAGCACTTCACCACCTCACTGCTTAAGCCTTATAGAGTGAGAAATGTTACACATTAATACTACCTTACACATTACATCAATTCAATTCAGTTCACCAAACATTTTGTGATTAGTAGTAATTAGAAATAGTATTTATATAGTGTTTGAAGGTTTGCAAAGCATCTTATATAGGCTATCTCATATGACCTTCACAACAATCCTGGGAAGTAAGTGCTTCTAGCATCCTTATTTTACAAATGAGGAAACTGAGGCAGCCAGGGATCAAATGATTTGCCCGGGGTCACACAGCTAGTTACTATCTGTAGCAGGATTTCAATTCTGGTCTTCCTGGTTCTATCCACTGCACCCATTAAGCTCTTCAATTTTGTTTTCACATATATCATTTGATCCTCACCATGACTCTGTGAAATGGTTAGCCTGAGTGTTATCACCTCAGTTTTGCAGATGAGGAAACAGACACTCAGGGCGTCAAATGACTCAACTGCGGTCGTACAACTAGTGTCAAAGATGGGGTTTAAACTCACTTTTTCTTGGCTCCAAGGTCAGCCGTATATTCTCAGTCACTAGATGAGGAATGGATTTTTTTTAAAAGAAGAGCAGTCCTTTCATAGTGCAGTGTGCTCATGTAGCCATCCTTAGGAAGTGGCGGTATCTGTCACGGCAGTTTGAAGGGGCAGCACTCTGTACCCTGCTAGTGCTGGATCTCCAAAAGCGCGATCACGTTAATCATGCTTCGTCGCAGCGCGTCCCTGACGGATCAGAGGGTCAGCTCGCAGAAGTAGCAGGTACGGTGAGCGATTAGATGCTCGCTCTTTTAAAAGCACCTTCAAAGAACGTCGGGCTTTGCTAGAGCCCCGGCGCCCAAGTGTGGATTTATGAATATCCTTTTTCTTGATCAAAGTCCAGGACAAAAGGAGCATGAAATGAAGGCCCAAACTAGATGAGCTCATGTTTCAGTCGGGGGTCCTTCGTACCCTCAAGTTTTTCTGCCTCATGCTGCTGCTGCAAGTTTTGAACCCTAGAGAAGGCCGGCTCTGCAGAAGATGGATAGATAGAGAGATGTTGTTGTTCAGTCATTTCAGTCACGTCTGACTCCTGGGACCCCTTCTAGGGTTCTCTTGGCAGAGATACTGGAGCGGTTTGCCATTTCCTTCTCCAACTCATTTTACAGATGAAGAAACTGAGGCAAACAGGATGAAGTGATTTACCCAGGGTCACACAGCTAGTAACTGTCTGAGGCTGGTATTGAACTTGGGTCTTCCTGACTCCAGGCCCAGCACTCTGTCCACTGAGCCACCTAGCTGCCCTAGACAGATGAACGGATGAATGGGCAGACAAACAGAGAGAGAGAGAGAGAGAAGGAGGAGGAAGGGGGGGGGGAGCATTTATTTATTTATTTATTCATTTATTCATTCATTTCTTTCTTTATTTTTGGTGAGGCAATTGGGGTTAAGTGACTTGCCCAGAGTCACACTGTTATGTGTCTGAGGCCACATTTGAACTCAAGTGCTCCTGACTCCAAGGCCAGTGCTCTAACCATTGCACCACCTAGCTGCCCCTAAGGAGGGAGCATTTATTCAATTCGTACTCTATGCCAGATGCTGTGCTAAGTGCTGTAGATACAAATACAAATAGGATGGTCCCTGTTGCGTCCCAGTGGAGGGCAGGGGTTCTCCTCCTACAGTGGTGGCCAGGTGGTGAGAAGCAGGTGTGGTTCTGGGCAAGGTGAAATCTTGCCTCTTCCAGCTCAGAGAGGTTCCTGAGGCTGAGTCCAAATTTCAGCAGAGAAGGTGGGAATGATCAGCGGTGGAGAGACGGCGTGGTGCATGATTTTATTTCCACACTACGTCTTATTATTGGTCAAGAAGATTCATGATGTAGGGACGTTCTGGAAGTTTCCTTCCCTCCCAGCCTTGGCCTCTGATGTCCAGCCTGTGCCACAGTTCTTCAAACACCACCAGCTGCCTTCAGAGCATCAGACTAGATTTCCAATCTCACTCCAGCTTAATAAACGTGCCCCTAAGGCCTCTGGCACTGAATATTTCATCACCTGTTATCTTTCAGGCCTGGCTTAATTTCTTCCTGGGCTCGCGTTAATGTGACCATGTGGATGGTCAAAGGTAGACTAACGGTGGGGGGAGGCAGGGGGCAAGTTTGGTTGAAGGAGAAGGATAGGAACTTTGTGGTCAAGTGATTGGTCAGCTTGGAATTCATGGGAGAGCAGGGCACGAGGGCTGCCATGCACTATGGGCTTGGGAACAGGTTCAGAGAAAGGGAAGCTGGGATCCCATGGCTTAAAACTTTAAGGGGACACTTGATACTTACTAGCTGTGTGGCCCTGGGCAAGTCATTTAACCTGTTTGTCTCAGCTTCCTCATTTGTAAAATGGAGATGATAACACCATCTAACCACAGGGTTGTTGTAAGGATCAGAGGAAGTTATTTATGTAAAGGTCTTTGTAAGCCTTAAAATACCGTATCAATACTATCTGGCTGTTATAAGATAGAAGCAAGGCTAGCTGTGTGACCCTAGGCAAGTCGCTTAACCCTGTTTGCCTCAGTTTCCTCATCTGTAAAATGAGCTGGAGGAGGAAAAGGCAAATTCCTCCGATATCTTTGTCAAGAAAACCCCCAATGGGATCACGGAGAGTCAGACACGACTGAAATGATTGAACAATAATGTCTTCATTAGGAATTCTCTACACCCATAAAATCACAAGTCTGCAGCATCCCCACCCCCCAAATAAAAAGTAAAAGGGGTAGGAATTCAAACACTGAATGACCTGAAGCTGGTGGTAATGGTCCAAACATCCCCCAAATGGCTTTTTTGATGTGTCGCAGAAAAGAGGAAAGCAAAAGATGGGCGAAGTCCTGCTCACAGTGTAGAAGGATAACAGCAGAAGATGATGAGATGACCCCCGTTCTCCACTTTTATCTTGTTTGTGTTTTCTCTGCCCGACAATGTGATCTTGGGACTGGGAGGAACAGCTCACAGATCAAGGGGTTTCCACCCCAAGGTGCCTGGGCAGGCAGCTCCGTCAGGCCCTGGAGGAATTCAGATCACCGCTCCAAGACTCAGTGCGTGCCGAGGCACTTAGAGATGGTGGCCGGGCTGGCTGCACTACTCTCCATGGTCTTGGAGACATCATGAGGAAAGGTGCCTGAGCACTGGACAAGGCCGGGGGAGGGGGGGCGGTGTTCTTCCGAAAAGGAAAGAGAGAGAGGTTGACCAGTTGTAGGCTGCAGCCCAGTGGGCTCCTAGGCTTAGTGCTGCAAAGGACTTCTCAGGTTTGTCCTTGTCTTAATGTTTAAACTCTTGGGAGAGGAGCAGTCATTCGTGTCCCATGTAAACCCTGGGCACCGTGACCCGTGACTCGAAGAAGCCCTGTGTTGCTGTGATAATGGGTGGGGTTTTCTTCATTCGGCCAGTGAATGCTTGTAGGAAAGTAAAGCGTGCTGTGGACATAGAGCAAGTGAGGCTTCTTTCAAAAGCGTTTTTCCAATTACCTGAACTACTCAAAAATGCAGCAAAGCTCATTATAAAACCTTAATTAAAAAAAAAAAGAGGCCATCCAGTCAACCTCTTCATATTACAGATGTGGAGACAGATGTTCGGAGAGTTGAGGTGATTCCTGACAAAACTATAGAAAACGCCCAGAAAAGACTTCTGTGTATCCCAAAAGTCTTCATGCAGTCTTAGGCTATTAAGTTATTATTAAATTATCTAAATTATGAGAGCAGGGATGGTGTCGTTTAACAGAAGGTCGCGCAGACTAACTACACACCTCAAATGACAGCATCGTTCCCTTATGGGCCTGCTGTTGATACAGTTTGCCTGAATTTTAGCAGGGCGTGTGATGTGTCTGGAGCATCTTTGTGGACAAAACCAGTGGGTAGATGTGTTATAGAAGGCTGAAGGCCAGACAGGAACATTTACACGGCCTTTTTCCTCCTCTGGGCACTTGCAGGAAATTAAGTGGCATGGAAGACATGGTGTAGTTTTTCATATCTAGGGTAGACAGAGTTTATTCTGTTTTTTTAAAACTACACATGAATTAGGCACCTGTGTGTAGTACATTCCCTATGCTGGGTAGTAGGAGAGATAGAAAATATAAATAAGATATGGTCCCCGCCCTCATGCAGCTCATATTGTAAGATGTGATATGTTAATTATAAGACGTAAT